CCCAAGAGTAGGCACCTCCTGGGAGGGTGCTTCCATACTATATCCTGCCCTCTCAGTATTGCTGTCTGCTTTCACACACTCTCAGGCCAGATGCTATGGACAGATTCTTGCAGATCTTCTTTCTTATTCTGTCCATTGTCTGCTTCTCTTATCCTCTGCATCTCTGCAGGAAGCGTAATGATAGAGGCAGGACAGACAACAGGGCAGCCTGCCTCATCTTCAAATGAATCTGCTTACATACTCCTTGTCTGACTTATGTTGGGAGTTTTTATTTAGTCATGGAAGTGAAAAGTATCCTTTTTTTATTCTGCCCTTCACTGACTTGACTCACTCATTTTATATCCATTCAACGTAGTTACACTCAAGACACTGATATTTCTAAAGGTGTAATGTCTTCAAACCAGAAAGCACTGCCAGCATCTTGATGAATTCCAGCTTTCTGAAAAAAAGGCAGAGTTAGCAAAGGCTTAGAAACATCTTGGCTCCTTTGGAGAGAGTGGAGACTTAAAAACTAAAGAGAATAGAGTCACTCCTTAATGCACTCACTGGTAAGTATCTATAATGCTACCAAATTAGCTCAGCCTGGAGCACAGCTAGAGGTGGAGCTTTGTAGCACTCAGTTTTTATCAGTCTGCTCATTTTACATGAGCCCAGTGCTGGTCTGAGCTGACATAGCCTCTAGTTCCTGTAGTCATGTGGATAACAGACATTTCATACAGACCAATGAGACACATGTTCTAGCAAATTTTGTTAGAATGTTATTAAATTTCAGAGGTGAAAAAAAGGGAGACTTCAGTTGAAAAAAAGTTATTTCAAATATTTTGCTCAGATCTAGTGCTTTTCTGGGATCAGATAGAATGATCAAATAGAGTTTGTGCTTTCAGGGGAAATGAAGGAGGCCCAGTGATCTACCATTTCTCTCACCCCGTTATTCTGGGAGAATACTCTCTTTTGGAAACACTGCATCAGTTACATCTAGCCACACTAAGTGCTCTATTCCATTTCATTTCTCATATAAATACTTTTCTTCTTTGTGCCACAGGGAACAAAATTAAAATAGGTTAATCAGTAACCAATGAGTCCAGCAGCAGCTGAACAGTCTCTCATATGCTCCCAGCTGTGAGTAATCTAAACCCTTTCTCTTTTTCTATTATGTAGGTACTGATATATTCCATACTGCTGAGTCTTCCAGCAGCAAATGAAGAATATGTACATGTTCCTCCTTTCCACTTTATATTTGCTTTTGAAATCCACTGGCACCAAAGAGCTTATATTTGGTCATAATAATTTCACAGAATATCAAGTAGGCAACATGAACCTGATTCTCTCTGTCCCACATGGTGGGTCAATGGAACCCAAAGACATCCCTGATCGAGAAGCTGCTTGTTGGGATGCAAAGACATCCTCTTGCATTTACTCTCATGAGTGTCCTCCTGGAAGTATCCAAAGTTACAAGAAATGCAAAGTGTCTACCAACCAAGACAGGTATACTATAGAGGTCGCTCAAGCTCTTGCTGAAGAAATCAACAACATTACTGGTGGCTTCTTCCCACATATCATTATAAACCACCTTCAGAGATTCAAGATGGATGCTAACAGGGTGAAGGAAGAAGCCTGCTTTGGAATTCCCCAAGCAGAACAGGCATGGGAGGAATACATGGGATTTTTGACCACTGCAAAAAGACAGATGACAGAGGGCCTGATTCTGGATATCCATGGACAAGCACATCCTGAACAGTGGATAGAATTAGGTTACACTCTTTCAAAAACTTCTCTTAACTCAGGGGACTTTTCTGCGTCATGTTCCTCAATTAGCCATCTGGCCAGTCAACTAGTCAATGTGTCTTCTCAGACTTTGGTTGCAGGGAACAGAAGTTTGGGTAAATATATTGAAGAACAAGATAACAGTTATGTCTGTGTGCCTTCTCCATCCAATCCTAGCCCAAATAATGGGAGCTATTATAGTGGGGGATACATAACAAAGACTTTTGGTTCCCGTAGCTCTGGCACTGTTGATGCCATTCAGCTTGAACTACCCCAGTGGGTGAGATCAGCTGAAGAACGTCCCAGATTTTGTAAAGCACTAGCAAGGGCTGTAATGAAATTCTGGCAAACTAACTATTGCAGCCAGCACAACCGTGAATTTCTGTTGTGCTGAAAGGTGCTACCCTTTAAAGATGGCTTTCCATAATACAATAATGATCTGAAACAATAGAAAAGCTGATACACTTGGAACATTTAGGCCTGTAATATAATTGTGGGTGATGGTGGAAAGAAACTAACTTGCAAAGGAATACAGAGACATCTACATAAAGCAAATCCACAGCTAATACAAATAAGCCCATTAATACACAGCTTTCTACTACATCCAGCATTGAAAAAACGTCTTGAAAATGAGTGGGTATATTTGGAAGTATCACTTGTTTGGTATGCTGCTCTGTGCCTAACTTCTTTCCAATAGCATTCTCTAGCACACAATAAACAACTGTTCTTATAATTGAATTCTGTGCAGTGTCTTAGTAGATGGGATGTTCAAAGAAATGAAGCACCTCTGCTTTTCTTATGATGCTTAAGACAATAGGACTGTCTTGTGTAATATGTTTTGGGCTGGGACCTGTTTCCATTTGGTGTTTATAAAGCCCTAGGAGTTGGAACTCTTCAGGTAAACAGTAACACTGAGCAATGACACCCAGTCTGAACTACTTCAGGTTTTGTTAATTTAATGAATTATGAAAAAATCTCTGAGAGCATTACAGTGCTAAAATCTTTTCACAGTTTAAATAGCACAACAGTAAGGTGTTATCTTTAGCAGCCTTCCATCCAGTTACAACATATTGTGTATTTTTTGACAGTTATACTTACAGCATGCTTCCCTTCTGAGAGCTGGTCCATTGATTTCATACAGCATAGGATTAAACACCTGATTGCTACTGGGAATAGTATTGCATTGTGGATGGGCTGTTCTCCACTATGGAGAATATAGTGGCATAAATAGATGTGAGTCTGTTTATGCTACAGTAGACAAATCAGCTTTTGGAAAACATGGGCAATCAATAGGGAAAACCAAAAGGAGCAGACAGGAAGACTGAAAAGAGTAAAATTCATAAATTAAGAGTTTATGAAATCCTGTCAGTGCTAAAGGTTTGGTAAAAATGAAAGAATGAGTTAATAGTTCTGAGTAAATAGTTCTGAGTAAGTAAACAGTCAATCAATTGAAGAGAAGCAGGATTTCTGCATCTTGCAGACACAGTAAAATACTTTAGTTCTAACTATAAATAGCGACAATATCAAAGAGAAAATCTTGCACGACTATAAAGCAGAACACATAAGAGCAATAGAAGAGGAGCTCTCTGAACCTGAACTGTTCACTTTTAATAATCTTTGAAGACTAGGCAATTTTCAGGTAACTCGAAGAGAGCTGATGTAGCTGTCTTTCAAAGGCAAATAGGACTCATGGAACTGCAGTGTGTTACCTTTCATATGCTAACTGCTAAATCATGGGTCAGATGAAGGGAACACAGATAGTAAATGAGGGATTACATTTTATCTGGCGACACTTGTTTTGTCAGACAAACTTGATTTGAGTTTTAATCACCAGGTTAATTGTGGTTATGTAGTGGGTTAACCCTGGCAGACACAAAGCACCCACCCAGTTGCTTGCTTGCTTGTCCCAGTGCGATGCAGGAGAAATTTAAAAGAGCAAAAATTAGAAATCTTGTGGGTTGAGATAGCGAGAGTTTAATAGGTGAAGCAAAGCTGCATTTGCAAACAAAATAAAGTACAGAATCCATCCACTACTTCCCATTAGCAGGCTGACGTTTAACCATTTCCTGGGAAGCAGGGCCTCAATGTGCATAACGGTTACATGGGAAGACAGGTACCATAACCACAAACATCTTGATTTGCTCCTCCATTCTGTAAACTCTTATTGCTGAGCAGGACATCATATGGAACATAATTAGGTTCACAGAAACCATATTTTTTTCCCCCAATATTGTAGGTAATAATGGCACTAGTTACAGGAATTACCTTAAATACTTAACACAGCAACACACTTGGCAATGATTCGTAGCTGTAGTGAAACAAAGGATGATAGAATATGTATTCTGTGACCTGTGTCATGTTGTGCCAGTGTCTGGGAATGCTGAAATGCCCGGAAGGATTCAGGGAATCATGACTGATAATGAATTGACTATGAGCTCAGCATGTAGTCTTCTGGTTTAGAAGGTGAAGATGCTCTCTGAAAGCATAAGCAAGGAATTAAGAGGTAGAAACAGCAGGGCATATTAACTCATTTTTGTGAATCTGATGTTTATCTGATTGTGAGTGTAAGATGGAGTTCTGTGGTGGAAAGGCTTAAAAAGCTACAGAAATCTGCCTTATAGTGACTCACAAAGCTCAAATTACAGTCAACTTTGCTACAAAGAGTAATTGTGAGGCTGACAGAGCCTGGGTAAAGGAGAATGCCATCTTTAATGGTGTCCTTAAATAGGGCTGTTTCTCATTATTTGAACCTGGTTCTCAATCTTTCTTCTGTCTTATCTCCACATGATTAACAGGGGAATCTAAATGAAGACATTTGACTAGGATACTGTGGCATATCTGTCCTACCTACAGAACATTCCATTATCTCTTTTCCTAGCTAAGGACACAAAAGTTCTTGAAATGAGAGAAAGGTTAGAGCAGTACCTCTGGAATAACATTTTGTGCTCTTCAGAGGAATCTATATGGCTAGGAAAAGCAAATTTATGGCTCTGAATCTTTAAGCAGTTAATCACAGTAAGGACCTTTTCCTTCTTAACCATCAAAAAGTGGAGTGAAATAGACTTTTCTGTATCTTGTTATAACCATACACTGTCTTTATCAGATTTTTTTATCTGCATGAAAGACTGGATTAGAAGTAAAGATTTGATTTCTAGATGTTCTACTTAATAGTGAAATGATTTTAAATATAATTAAAAATCAAAAAGAAACAGAGAAAAAATGAAATAAGGAACCTGTTAATCCACTTGCCCTGAAGATGGACACTATATTTATTTGTCTTGACCCTGTTCTCCACCTGTCTGCATTGTCTATCCAGTGGCGCTTGGTGTCTCAGCTTTTCTCTTTTGAAGACCTTGAAAAATAAATTGCAATATTTCAAGAACTAAATAATAAATTCATGTGAACAGACCAATTGATAGTGTTTTGTAACAACACAGACAAAAGAAAATATATATTGTGCATGCAGATCATAGAAAAAGTCTGATCTCATTTCATTGTAAATCCATTGCAGTACCATTGGCTTCAGTGTAGTTGCTCCTAATTTGCCAAGGCACAAGACCCCCTGTATTTTATTTTCTTCTTCTGGAAGAAAATGAAACAGACTTCCAAGGCACAATAATGGTCAGAAGGATAGCATACGTGCCAACTATTTGAACATCGTGCTCCCAAGTTTTCTGTTTTATGAGATACTCTGTAATGCTGCATGCACAAGCATTAAGCCATGTAGATTTGAGTGCAGAGTACCCTATTCATCCCACCTAACTAGCCATCTACGTGCTAGAGTCTCATCCAAGCTAGTTTTCTAGGTACCCTCTATAGACAGACATCATCGTCCCTACTAGGGGTGATTCTTTCCATCCTATGACAGGTGGGATAAACACCTGTGGACATTCTGGCCATTCTCCATAGATGGAAAAACCTAGGAAGCCTTGCTAGACAGCTTGCAATAAATCAAAGCAATAGTACCTAATAGTATTAACTTACAATAGCCAAATCTTTGTGCAAATAAGAATTAATCTTGGGGGGCTGGCTAAAAGAGTTGAGTTTGAGTAAAAAGCTAATGAGGTGAGAATGAACAGGAGAAGCAAGTGTCTGGAATACTCACTTGGTGGCATCTCTTCAGCTGGCTTCTCAAGCTTCCACCAAATGGAGAATGGAGTTGGATGGGTAGTAATGCAAACCATGTTTGAAAATTAAATTGAGAAGCAGATAGTTAACAATAGAGTGTCAGAGTATATGATTGTAATAATTTACCAGTGATAAAGGTTTCTGTTTTATGAATGCCACTGCAAAAGGTAGAAAACACTTATACTTACCTTATATATAGGAAGATACCCAAATACTGTACCAGCCAATCTGTTTCCAGGCTCAAAACATTTCACAGGTTGTTTATAGATCTGACCAAGGGAAGACAAAGTCAGTGCATTACTAGCTGAAGACAAATGACAATGAAGACATTAGCTCTGTTATTGGATTGCATGGTAAGATTCATGTTGTTTACTATCTAAAGAGATTAGGGTTTATGCACAGGTTTTCTCTGTACCTTGAACTTTTTTTTTTCTTTAATAGGAGGGATCATTATTCTACTACAGAAAATGCATATCCAGCAAAATCCCAGCTTCCCAAGGAATACAACATGAAGAGTTAACAGCAAAATGCCTTTTATCACCTAAGTTAAAGCTAGTTTTAAACACTTAATTCTCTGACCTATTAAAACCTTGGGTAAGATCAATAAAGTAATAGCAGTAACAGTTTAAAAGCTACCACATCTTCAAAAATGTAAAACATTTATAAACTAATCTCTTCCAGTATCTGTCTTCCAATTCTTAGCATTATTCATGCTCATTAATTACTAGGCCTTACCTATTACAGAAAGATATGACAACTGAACTATGGTGAGCTAATCATATACTCTAGGTATTTGCAAAGCCACTGAATAGCACACTGTAGTCTAAAGTGCACACTGAAGTTCACTGGTTTGTTCTGCTCTAAGGCAAATGATAAGAAATTGAACTTTTTTCTCATCAAAAGCTGGGGGAGACTCTGGTGCTAACATGTATCATGTATCTTCTGCTATGAGACCTCCAGTAAGTCATCTTTCCAAACAACTACGTAAAATGCAAAGCAGAGCTTACCTCTACTGTCTTGACCTACAGTGTACTCAGCCACTGACTTCACTACAAGAAATTTCATGTTTTATACCCAGCATCATCATATTTTTCCCACTAACTGTTCTTTCTTATTATACAACACTGTATATACAGCTGTTGAACAGACAGGGACCAGTGATCAACTGCCAATACTTTGTAGTGCATCCTTCTACAAAAAGGTAGGTACGTCAGTCTCCCTGTGATTTAAACACAGGCTGCTCTGGAGATTGTGGAGCACCTGTGACTGGCATAACTGTGACTTAAGGGAGCTCACCAACTTTTTGCTGTTTTGGGGTGAAATGATGGAATGCCTCAAAACTGACTGCTTGACTATCTTTGTGTAGCAGCAAGTAATCCACTAGCTTCAATAGCCAAGCACCTAGACAAGATGAAAGCTGATCTTGAATCCTTGGTGTCCCAGTGAGCAAGGACAAATGGGAAAGGAAGAACTGGCTGGCAAGAAAGGGCAAAGATAGCAATAGGGCAAGGGGTAATAGGTTTAAACTTAAACAGGGGAAGTTCAGGTTAGATATAATGAAGAAGTTCTTCACTGTGAGGGTGGAGAGGCACTGGAACAGGTTGCCCTAAGATGTGGTAAATGCTCAATCTCAAGGCCAGGTTGGACAGAGCCTTGGGCGACACGGTCTAGTGTGAGGCGTCCCTGCCCATGCAGGGGGGTTGTAACTAGAGGATCTTAAGGTACTTTCCAACTCAAACCATTCTAAGATTCTATGATTCTATAAACAGTGGAGAAGTATCTTCCACTCACCTTGTCATTCTTTCTTCCACGGTACACAGAGGAAAGTAGCTGGACACATGGGGTAATGCTGCTTTTTACTGACTACAGTTTGGACCTTAGCTGGCCACATTAGAATTGTGGTACTTAGGAGACTCATGGTACCACAAAGTTTAGGAGAGGTTTTTAAAGCGCTCATAACCCTCACTGGCTTTTGACCAATAACCTCTGGGTCAGAGAAAGAATGGTCAGAAAGGTACTAATGGAAGCCTTTTTGGCAAGTGGCCATAGGATTTGTATCTTTTTTCTTTTCTGCTACAACTGCAAGAGACGTTTTATCTATTCCCTTGACTTTTAAGGGCTAAGCCAGGTAAAAATGGAGGACCTCAACAATTATTTAATTCAAGTTATAGAAAATATTTATAACGATATTTAAATAACTCAGGACTCTCCTGGTTTCTGATTTTGTGGGAACTTTAAAAGAACTATTGTGTATAATCAGGGGTTCACTCTTGTTCTAGCATTTTCACACTTCCTTCAAGTAAATTTAAGGGACTTAGGATTTCTGTTGGAGCATGTGAACATTCTAGGGTTTTTTAATGCTGTTAAGCCAAATCATTGGTGAATCATTGTGTGCTACCTTCAAAATTGGAATTTGTAAGTGTGAAACAATGAGAATGAAAACCAGAGAGGTTTCTTCAGTCCTTCTGTTCATGCATCTTTGTTCTAGCTTGTCCATTGAATGAGAAGGATATGTAGGATTATTTATGGCTAATTTCTAAATGAGATATACAATTGTGTTTCCTGTATGTTGCACAGGACAGAAACAAGTTTGTCATATATGTTAGCTACCTTTGGAGAAGCTAGAGATTTGAAAAACTTTGAGTCCTGAGTTGTGTCCATATGTTTAAGACCTCTTAAACCTGAAGGTGGTCTGGTCAGTGACTTCCACCTGTAAAGGTAAGACAGAAAAAATTTGATGCTCCTATAAAAATGGCAGTTTTGAATGCAACATTCTTAGCTGGCTCCAAAATAAAATTATTTTGAAGTATAAATTATTCCATGTATCTCAAAAATACAGTTTATATTAGGACATTCATAGGTGTCACAAAGTGCGTCACTAGCGCTCTGTCAATCCCGCTACTGGCTTGTCATCTTTAGAAGGCTGGCAATGTTAATATAAAAACCACTAGTTACAATAGCTGGGTGCTAATCTGCTGTCTGATAATGGTTTTTCAGCATTTCTGTCAGTTCTAATTACAGTTCCTGTACGCTGCTTAGTAATAAAGTTCCCTCTGCTCATATATCTGGTTTCCAAATTTAGAAAGAAATGATCTGGAGTGTAGATTAACAGTTTCATTTCTAATCAGAAAAATTAAGTCAGGTCACACAAGCTTAAGTATTATAAACTACAAAGAGAAACAGAGACTGTCCTTTTATATGGGCCTGTCTACATGCTGGCATTTTTCAATAGATAACCTGAGCTGCTTGTTTAAACTGTAAGCACCTATGCTATCTGGGTTTGTACCTTTCCAGGTATATGCACATTTGGGTGATACCTGTAATTAGCATTTATAACTTGTTTTGTTAATTGAAATTCTAAGATACTTAGTGACTTTTCGGCTATCCAATAATCAAATTGTAGTAGTACCATAAAGTGACTTGACCGAAGAGAAGCTTCTGTGTCCTGTAAAGAACAACGCCTAGCATCCGTAAGTAACACAGCCTTTTGGATGATGGTTGCCTAGCTATCCATTACACATTTGGTACAATTAATCCAGAGGCATCAAGTTAGTCTTAAGGTGGCAGCACATACAGAGTATATAGAACAAGACTGAAACTTTCTATTGTGCAACATGTGTCCACTTTATCCTTTTTTCCCCAGTTCTCTGCAGAGCTAAGCAGGCTTTGCTGCCAGCCTAATTAATGTGCTTCTAATGTATAATAGCTGTTCTCCTTTACTGAAATAGTTGAATAGTCCTTCACAACTAGTCACAGTTTGACAGAGGCATGTCATTTATGGAAAGGTTCTTCAAAGTTAGCTGGCTTAATTATAGTATCTTTGACTCCAGAGGTTTCAAATTGCTGACTATTCAAAAGGACTACAGGGGTTAGTCCTTCAAACACAGCCAAGCACTTCTCTATATTGATGAGTTAGTGTTTTTACTTCAGTGGGACTACTCACATTTATGAAGAATTCTAAGGAATAATAAGTGTTATCAGGATACTGGCCTAAATGGAGTAATAGAAAAGCACCCAAGAGGTTTGCCATTGTCCCAAAGTGCTTTGGTTAGAAGGCAGCTGTTGTGGTTTAAACCCAGCTGGTAACTCAGTACCATGCAACTGCTCACTCACTCCCCCTTTAATCCCCCTGCCCTGGGTGGGATGTGGAGGAGAATCGAAAGAATGTAAACCCCACGGGTTAAGAACCATTTAATAACTAAAGTACAATATAATACTGGTACTACTACTAATGAAGATGATAAGGGAAATAACAAAGGGAAAGAAAACATCCCCAATAAACACAGGTGATGCACAGTACAATTGCTCACCACCAGTTGACCAATACCCAGCCCAACTCTAGCAGCAATCTGGGCCTTCCGGGTAACTTCACTGTTTATATACTGGGCATGACGTGTTGTGGTATGGAATAACCCTTTGGCTAGTTTGGGTCAGGTGTCCTGTCTCTCTGATCCTTCCTGGCTTCTTGTACCCCTCTTCACTGGCAGAGCATGAGAGACTTTTGATCAGAGTAAGCACTACTCTGTGACAACTAAAACGCCTGTGAGTTATCAGCATTATCCTCAGACTAAGTCCAAAACACAGGTTTGCACCAGCTACTAGGAAGAAAATTAACTCTATCCCAGCTGAAACCAGGACAGCAGCATAAGAACTGACTGGGTATACGAAGCCTTACCACTAAAGTAGGCATGACTTTTAAGTCTGGGAGTAATTTTTCCCAGATTTGGACTGCTTTGTTATTGATGGTACTATGCACATTGCCTCTGAAGATTTCATCTTCAATATTTATGTTAGTTTGGTCAATCCACTAATTAATGAACCAGGGAGTTCCAGGAATATGACTTAAGCTAGAAGTCCAAGGCTCTCTGGCTTGACTTGTAACTAACCTAAATCCCTTAAGAACTCTATCCAGAAGGAGAGAGGTCCAGCACTGCTACTGAGCACACAACATTTATGCAAGTGTCAGAATGCTGTGATCAGAGGTATGTGAATGTATCCATAACATCCCATCAAATTTAAGAAGACTATTTTTTAAACTGGAAGATTAAATTTGGCTTATTTTTACAAAAGGGTTTGGTTTTGAGTTAAAACTATTCACATTAAGATTTTAAAATAAATTTTCTGGAATCCCAGAAGTATATTAGCTTGTGGAACTGGAAAGAAAACAGGCTGCTAACCTCAACAGTGTATATAACATACAGCCTCTAATTAGACTAAAATATGAGACAATTATCTAGCCATCACTATTACTGAATTCAAATCCCGAGCATCACTTAGTCCTGGCTGTCACCTAGTCATAACGATTCAGAGGTCTATGCATGCTGTGTAGAAACATTTATACAAAGGACTTTTCTAAATAACTCATAGGAAATACTAATAGTTCTTTCTGACCTTCAGGTAAAAGATGCTTTTTACATATATTTTCAGAACTGTTTGCTCAGTCCTACATGTATGTAAACATATGAGATCTTACTTGTCCCTGTCCAGCACGAGAGGATATTCAAACTCCTCCTCTTCCATATACTTGCTTTCTTCTTTAATTATAATAGGAAAGGTATTAACATCACAAGGCAAAATCAACCGAGTAGTATCTGATAATTCAAACTTCCTGGGTTGTCCATAGTAACCAAGATAGTGTCCATTCATCACATTCCAGAGCCTACAGACATAGTAGAAGCAGTGCCAGAGGACAGAAAGAAAAAAATGGATACTCTTAGAAGTGGCACATAAGTGAGAAAATACCGGTGTACGTTATCAAGTTCTGCAGCACCGTTCTAGAGTTCAGTGTGCTAATCATAAAAAAAAAAAGCAATGTGATTGAAGTTCACTGTTTATAATGTAAGTAACTTGAGAGTAAAAATATCTCAGAAGGATGTTGTAAAAATCGAAAAATGAACAGTTCATCTTCAGAATTACAAAACTGAGTAAAGGCAGCGGCATCCTGAGTTGCTCCTACAGTAAGGTGCTGCCACCAAAGCAGGATCTACACAAAATTTCCTCATTAATTACCCAAAAATGCCCCAAAGAAACCCCTTCATATGTACTTGTTAGCAGAGAAGGAATTACCGCTATCTATAAAGCATTTCAGGCTGCAATGGATTAATTACATAAGCATTAGGTAGAGGCAGTGCTTAGGACCCATGTCAATTTAACAAATATTGAAAGCTAAAATAGGATTAGAACAGGTGGCCATTTCTAAAATGATGGAGCCATTAACTATGCATTCAAGGTCACCTTGCTGGATGAAAATGACAGTCTGCAGAAGGTCTGACTGCCTAAGAAACCTGGAAGCTTTACCCTAAAATATTAGTTCTTTCAGATGCAGAACAGAAAATGCACCCAATGTTGTATTTATTTAAGTTCCTGCCTATGTAGAAGTCCAGCAAGAAGAGGAACTCTGGAGACAGTTCTACTGATTAGCCATAGCTATAGGAAGCAGTACCTGACTGAACCGTCAATAGATGCTGTTACTACCACATTTTTCTCCTCTTCATGAAATAAGTCAACCACTTCAGTAGCGTGTGCCCTCCAGCAGGCCTCCTCCTTTATTTGCTGGGGCGAAAAAAGCAACATAACCACATTTCAGGCAGATCTGTAAGGTTGGTAGCTTAGTGGATTTATCTGCATGGTTTTTTGAAAATTCAGAGGTGAAAAAGGAATCCCCCATGAAACAATCTGTGAATGGCTTAGGGTAGAAACACCACTCAGAGGACATGGGTAAATTCACTCTTAACATAGCCTCTTTGAACACAATGGATTCATGTTAACAGCATTTTACTTATGTTTTTCTTGCTTTTCACAACATCAAGTTATTATTTCAAGCAAAAGACATGACCTTTATGTGCAGGAAACATTTTTAGTCCCCATAGTGCTCTGAATCCATTTTTCTGCTTGTCATATCTTGGTATACTGTTCAAGTTAAGAAAAGCTGGCAGATATTTGCTTACATTTTTATCTTTTTGCAGATGTTCTAAGAATGAGGCAATGCACCAGTGCATAATGTGTCCCTCTGTTTAAAAAACAAAAATCAAAACATTAATAAATTTCATTAGTGCTGCACGTTCACTTGCTGCTACCATATGCTCTTGTAAACATTGGGTAGAATAAAGCAGAGATTACAGGTCAGTGAATGTTATTTTAAGGTGAATGTCACTGTCTCATTGTCAAGCACAGGGTAGAAAACTATGGGCTATTCACTAATATGCAAAACAATATCTATACTCTTTGTGAACAAGGTATCATTAAATGGATAGGTTTGAAATGGAAAGAATTTAAAGATTTTTCTTTAAATGACATGAATAAAAAATAAGTCATCTTGCCAAGACAGTTTTCTGTTGTACAAACTAGGTACGAGAGCTTCCTGGGGTTTAAACTGTCTTTACAATCCTGGTGAAATAGATGAAGTTGATTAATTGCAAACATAATGAAAGCTTGACATTTGACAACCTTTTAGTGTGCTCATGTGAAGCTAGAATCAAAGAACCATTTTCCTTATGACCTGCAACTGCTCAGTTTACTGCCTAAGATCTCTCTTTCCTGATGAAGTTGCCTTTTATCTCTTGTTTCTACTATTAGACAGAAAAATCTTTTGTGTAATTCCAACTTTCATACTGGTCACATCTGGTTTCTAGGCCTGTATGTTTTCAGGCAAGAAAGAAGGCTGACAGAGAAGTTGACATTTTCCTAACAAGGAAAAATCTATAATGGGAACAAAAAATTGGTAGTAGCCCTGCAGATAGAAGAGAAGGGTGTGGAAAGCATGAAAAGCAAATACATAGTGGCACAAATACAAAAGGACAAAGGGGGAGTATCAGATGAATAGGTAATAGGGTGGATACTTTTCCACAGCTAATTAAAATCCTGTTCAGTGCATGCTGCCTTCCTAAACTCATTTACTGATTTGACTCAATGGGGAGTGGAAACTACGTTTTCAGCATCTGTGTCAAGGTACTGCTCAGTTTTACAACAAATGGAGAAAATGAGAAAAAAACTTTCTCCATCCAACCTCTGACAGTATAAGAGCAGGAAGCTGGCAGGAAACAGTTCTAACAGTAATTTTAGAAGAAAACTGACACATTAAAGGACAAAAATCTCATTTGACAGATGCAGAAGAGGAAAATCTCCAGGGTGATTCTAAAGGTTTGGAGGAGGATCAGATAGCAGACGACTTTCTGCCAAATGAAAGCCAGATTTTGTGTGAAATTAAATCTAACAAAGAGCTGCTAGCACAGAGCATGAGTGCTTTCTTTCCTTATACAGCAGCATACTGCTGAAGCCATTACTGTACACTTCACATCAATGTCCAAATCATGCCTCTTGGTACAGCCACAGCTGCAGTTTCTTATTTAGTTTTATTACTATGGATGTGAAATGTTTGCCTTTTTTTAGCAGCAAACTTTGCCTTTGGTATTAACACAATAAGAAATGGAAATAAGATGGAAAGTATATGCAGGGCATGTGAATGAAGAAAATTTTAATGTCTTTTATAAAAACATTTCTGCTGATAATGCTGCTAAAACTAAGCTTTAATCTACCATCCTTTCATACTAGAAAATACCTTTTTCAATTATTTAATTATAGCTTTGATAGGGAAAGTCTGGAAGCATTTGGGCATTCATTTCCACATTTCTAGCACTTTTACAGACAGTCCTGAACAGAATGACTATCATGTTTACTCACCCTTACTGCCTGCTAAAAGTATTTTAGTGGAGATGTCTGTACATAGTTCTGTCAGAGGAACTGAAGGATGTTTTGAAAACGGCAAAAGTTCTTTCACCAAGTTTCCCTAAAATAAATAAACACACACATATTTCTCTTTAAAATATATACATAAAAAACCCCAACAAACCCAAAATCAATGCATTGGAAGTTGAGTTCCATTGATTTGATCTATTCCACATTACTCAGCTCACATCTATTCAGAAAGATGCTAAAAAAGGAGTTATCTAATTACTGAATGACCAAGATAGCTGGGGTGTATTCTGGGTTGCTGTCTCTTCTACAACAAGAGAAGCAGCTATTTTACTGTTCAGTGATCATACTGTGGTACTCCCCCTTTTTACAGTATTTACTTTTTATCTCTTGTTTTAGAGGAACATGTGTGATCACATATTTTCTGGAATTGTGTCTTACGGATCTGAAGTAAGACAACTAAGCCATTGAATTTCTGTTGCATGACTGGCTTTAAAAGCTGAGTATAGTTGTAGACTGTATGTGTTAGGTACTATTCTCTCCCTGTTTGTAACCTTACTAGTGCTAGCTGCTAGCTGGCTTGTGCAATGTTCCAGACATATTTCTCATCTTCTGACAATAGGATACTCTGCCTTGACTAATATCCTTTCTTAGACTATAACTGGTTTGGGTGAAAAGTCAACTTTCAGATTTTGACATAATGTTACAGTCAGTTTTTGTTAAAAATATTTCAAATAATGTTTCTTCAACTAATTTGTATCCATGGAAGAAACTGTTAAGAAAAAAAAATCAATAAAATATCTGCTGCTGTAGTTGCTAGTTAAAAAGCACGTTTTCATGTTTTCAAAGATTAGTAGAATTACCTTCTCAATAGTCCAGTCCCATCCTAAAGACATTCAGATAGCTACCTGAATACTCCATAGGCAGATACAGCCATTTTCTTGAGCAGAAGCCAATATGGGTGAGTGTCCTGCTTCAGCTTTGGATACATAGTGCATACTCTTGCAACTAGTTGTGTCTTCTGCTTTGAAACACAAATGATCATACATTTTCTCAACAATTTTTAGAGCTGCTTTTGAATGCCCAGAAATTACATAACGCTAGAAAAAATGTAAATTTGAAAACAAACTCCATCATCAAGATGACATTACTCTGAAAACATTACAGATATGGATAAAAGACAACTGAAAAGAAATAAGAACAATCTTCATGATCTTATCTAAACTATCCAGAACTATTGCTTCATGATGGTGGGGGAACTTTACTCAGAGCGTAGCAAGATTTTACAGAAACTGCAAGCACCAGTGAGAGTGGAGAAGTGCAAGAAAGTGGTCATCAGGATCTGCAGCATGCATGAGGCTACTAGAGATTACTGTAAATTCAACAGTGAAGTTTAATAATTAAATGACACTTAATTCTGGAATCACAGATTTCTGTACTTCTTCAGTTCAAAACTAGCTAAATGCAAGGTGATGGTTACAGAGAAGCTTTTTTGCATCCCTGCTATGACTTCCCTAGTGTTGGAGAAGCTGGGGTGGGAATGCCTTATGAAGGTGCTCAGGATATTCAGTAGATGCAGGAATGAGTGCCTATTTCATTGGGCAGCTACAAGGCTTAGGGATATTCCGGTTTCACAGCATGTTTTCTTTGCAAAATCAGTTCAGTTTAAATCCACATTTCAGATGATCAAATTTCTTGTTATTGGGAAAGTCTGCTTTACAGCAGAAGTTGAACAAAGGATTCAGAGGAATCCAGAGGATTTGCTTCTTGCAAATTCATGACTACATTTTCACAGCTTTATCTCTTAAGCACTTGGTTCTCTTTTTTTTTTCCTGTTGTTTTAAGGATATCTATATCATAGGAAGACTTTTCCTTCTAAAATTTCATCTGTTTTTGAAGATTTTGTCTGTGAGGTCATTCAGTCGTATGTGAGTCAAGTTGGCTTTTGCTATACTATTTCAATGATTAATTGCTCAAATATTTCTGTGGCAGACAAGTGTGTACAGTTGGCATTCCCATATTCTGCAGGGTTTTCAGCATCATGTCTACTTAGAAAAGGCAGCAATTAAGCCCTTGCATATCCTGCATCATGCCCTGGCTTTTGGGAAATAACTGCAAATCAGGAGGGAGCAGAAGATGCTGAGGTGTGTCATCCACATACCAATGGTATCCCAATTATTATAAATACAGTTTGTCATTCAAACCGGCAGACTCATTTTCTGTGATAATCTGGACAAAACTCATGGATTAGCAACAAAGAGAATGAAAAACATTTCCATACCTGTTGTCTTTTCAATATTAATTTCATCACTTTTTACATTTTCCTAATAGTAGGGAATAAGAGGTAACAGAATTAGAAAACCGAACGGGGGTGTAACTACAGAACAGTTCTCCAGTTTAAATTATTTTAAGAATTTATTTTATTTTAATTGAAGGATTTAAATATTTCCACAGTTTCCATTCAATCTGGGACAGCACTGAGTGAAAATAAGAAACATTTAATCTGAAGAGAATCAAAATCACAGATGAACAAATCACAAATTAAATTAATTGGCATTTAGGATCATGCTAAAGGTAAATTTGGATGAATGGCATTAACTTCTTAGGATAAGCACAGTCAATCATTTAGAGTCATGTGAATGCAACCTACATTTCTTAGAGAGTTTAATTCAGGACATGCATATAGTCTCGGCACTACCTTGAGCAAAGATGAACAAAGTACGTAAGTAGCAATAGCATTTACTCACATCTGCATCTTCAGTATGAGAATTGTGAGACTCCTTCATTTGTGCCTTACTACATAGGCTTTTGAGGATCCCCAAGGCTGACAGTATACTGGTCTCAAATACTGCCAAATCAAATAAGGCAGGAAAAGCTATGCAGCCACCAGTGTTTGAGATATTGTGGTATCTCAGAAGAGGACAAGCCACTTCAACCTCATCCTACTTATTGATGTGTAGGGCTTGATATGTTGGGGTTTAGGGGGTCTTTTTAAGAGCTGCAAATGGCTGTCCATTTTGTTCCTCTAACGACTAAATAGCACAAGATATTGTATACTTTAGTTTGTGGATGACAGTCAGGCCTGTGCCAACTTGGGGATCTATGAATGTGCCATACTCTGCTGAAACAACATTGTGGAAAGAATATGGGAGGTGGCAGGGTGTTTTTTTCTTTTCGCCTGCTTGCCATTTGTTACTGTGCAGATGTGGCATGTTCTGGCATAAAAAGACAAAAAGTGTCACAAAAATCGTAATGCTACCCTTAGTAAAAATACACAGATCAAAACACTGCCATCTTGATGGTAAACTAAAAAAAAAACAAAAAAAAATCATACTGTCATTTGAAAGAATGCATCCAAGCAAGTGTGACTGCAATGTAGACATAGTTCCAGTTTTATTCAAGTACTTCATGATTTCTCTATCTTACCTTCCCCTTTGAGTTCTTCTGTACTCAGTACTTGCGTACTGCTTTTCTCACCATTTGAAAGTCATGATTGCTATTGATAAGCGTCTGACAAACACTTTGGTAGTCAGCTATTCCATGTATCACTGAGCCCTCTGCCTAACAGAATGTATTCTTATTTCCCCACCTCATTCAGCTTAGGGGAACAAAGTTTGTTTCCTTTGCAATTCTTGATATTTAGTTGTGTGCATGTCTTTATGGAAGGAATTTAGTAAACTACAGGATTTCAAAAACAAGACTAAGATAAAAACAGAAATTTGCTTTGAACGCTACTGAACCCATGAAGCCACCATACCTACCTCTTGCAGGCTCAAAGAACTGCTCTTGTGATCTGGAGTGGCATCATTATGACTCCTCACAGTAGCAGTAGTAGAGGACAGGGAACTGTATTTCCTGTGTGAAAGAAATTATTGGAGATCACTGACATTCTTGAAGAAACTGCTTGCTGTCTGGAAAAACAAAACAACATCGTCCAGTGTAATAAAGCATAATAAAATAGTGCCTGAATTGATCACACTAAGGGTTGGTGGTGTTTTAGAAATGTATGCAAGTAACTAGGCAATATTTGCATATTACACAGCCAACCTCTCCTGTTAGGAGTTTTGAGCAAATTAAATCCATAGTATAACAAAACTAACGCTGGTGTTCATCCTCAAGAAGTGAAGAGGAAAAATTCAGTGCATGTCAGTGTCTTGTTCTCTTTCATCTTACCCAGCACTTTGTTCTGCAAAGGTTTTTTCAATTAATTGTAGAGTATTTTCAATCTGTTAAGAAAAATCTTCAGAAATGGGATTCTGTGGAAGAAACTCAGGAAAAAAAATTGTATGTGGTCTTCAATGTTTATGTTTCTGTGTCGAGAAAAGGTCTGACTGTCCTAATGAGAGGTTCTTCCCACATAACTTACACCAATTTCACATCTGCTCCTTTTTTGTATCTGAATAATAGGGATAATGTAAAACCCCTATAGGAAGTATATAGCTGGGTTTTCCACTTAAATTAGGACAGGTGGCCATGGCTTTGTAATTTTTCAATGTTTGATTTCACAGACTTGCTAGCATTCTTGAACGTTGCGTGTCTGTATGTTATCACAGTCAAATTCATCCAAGTGCCTTCCTAAAACATACAAAACATCCTAAGCCGATATGATTCAAAGTCATTGTAGGATCCTCCTGCTTATGCATAATCATAACTTTTCCTGATTTATACAAATTTCTGTTTGTGAATTGTAAGCACCACATTTTTAATTTAGCTACGATTTCCTAAACTGATCATTAAGCTATAATATAAAATATAATAATATAACGTAAAAAAAAGCAAATTTATGTTCAGTTAAGTGGCACTTGTACATTTAGGTGTGTAGTAAATACATAAGCTACTTGAAGATTTTAAAGCAACATAAGACCATAAATCATTCTTCTGGTTCAGGAGAGCAAAAATGCTGCCTAATTGCTTAAGACCTTAAAGTCACATTAAGTATTTAAACCATATTGAGTACTTCTGCCTACTGTTGCCTTTGCACAACCATTGGAAGCCAGGCTTCTGAAGTTATGTACACATGCAATGCTTTTCTCTCAAAATGAGCATATTTGGCTAAAATTCTATTGTCCATCCAACACTAAAACCCTATGCCATCTTCTAGTTTGTTTTAAGGTGAAACTTGAGGCTGCACATTTCAATGAGCTTGCTCTCTGTTTGATCAGAGTATCTAATAGCATGAGGATTGTATCCATTTTGGAATAAAGAAAAAGCCTGCTGTCACAAAGATTTATCTCAGAGAGATAAGAATCAAAGAAGGTACAGTACACAGGAAAGCTGATACCTGACAAAGGCTGATTTCTGTTGAATTCTTCAACAGAATTGAGAGTTAAGAGGTCAGATAAAGGACAAAAGGATAGCTTAGTGGAGGAGTAAAAAAAGAATTTATAATATTTATGATTGATAAGCATTACAGAAGTTTAAGGATAGGAAAGCTAATTAACTGTTTGAACTTGAACTGATTAAATGCAAAGAAAATCTCCATTTAAATCAGCTGTCTTGGACAAATATTACATGGGTGTAGAACAAATGACTGCAGCTGTCCTGGGTGTAGATACAATGCACACAGTTACCTGGAAGAGAAAGCGCTATGTACAAGGAATAACATGGCATTGACTCCAGATTCCTGAAGAACTGAAGCCTGGCTGTCTTCGTTAATTTCACACCTGAAAATAAAGGACGTGTCGGAGAGGTTGCGTATTGTTCCCAGAAAAAGTTGCAAGCTTTATTTGTGATGTAAAAAATCAACATGTCATTTCCCAGAAAGCACGTCACCTAAAAGCGTTAGACACAGTTTTTCAGAATCATTTAATCAGTTATGATGGATTAATGTCAGTGAAGTGTAGGTACAAAATGTGCCTGTGTCAGGAAAACTAGGAACCTGATGGAATGATGAACATGTGTTCAGCCAAGTATTTTCTTGAGAACTAGTATCTAAGAGAAAAGTAAAGTAACTTATGTTGAAGTTAACTGCTAAGTTAATGTTAGAAAAGTACCTGTTCCTGGCATTCAAACCAGTCATGTGAACCCTGGGTAAAATACTCTACTTATAAATTGACTTCCCTATCTTCCATGCATCCACATTAATTTGCTTCCTCATAAATGAGGAAGCAAAAGAAGAGACAGAGCCAGAACTGAGTTGAGTTTTATTATTTCAGGTGATACAGAAAAACTCAGCTTACTTTCTCACAAACACGCCAATTTTACATATGAAGGGTGCTATGAAACTACTGGGTAGGATAAGTAAATATTGACTTTGTATGCTATGAAAAGACATGTATTCCACCACCACCACAGAAATACTGCTGTTCTGCTCCACACAGACTAACCAGACATGTAGTTTTTCATTTTCTTCATTGTCCTAGGTTCAGCAATAGCAGTCATTTTTCTCCTTCTCAGTAGCTGGTGCAGTGCTGTGGTTTTGACTTTCAGCCTGGGAACAACGCTGGTAACACCAATGTTTTTAGTTGCTGCTCAGTAATGTTTACTCTGACCAAGGACTTTTTGAGTCTCATGCTCTGCCAGGGAGGAGGGGAAGCCAGGAGGAAGCAGAGACAGGACACCTGACCCAAACTGACCAAAGAGGTATTCCATACCACAGCACATCATGCCCAGGATATAAACTGGGGGCAGTTACCCGGAAGGGCTAGATCACTGCTCGGGTTGGGCATTGGTCGGCAGTGGTTGTATTCTCTTCTCTTGTTATTTCCTTTATCATTACTATTACTGGTGGTAGCAGTAGTGGTTTGTGTTATACCTTAGTTACTGGACTGCTCTTATCTCAACCTGTGGGAGTTACATTCTTCTCATTCTCCTCCCCATCCCTCTGGGAGCGGGGGGAGAAAGGGGGGGGTGAGCAAGTGGCTGCATGGTTCTGGGTTGCTGGTTGGGCTTAAACCACAAAACTCATGTAGCAATTTAGTCTGCATGAGAATATCTAAAACCAATATGCTCACATCTTGTCACTTTCTGTGAAACAATTTTACTCCCAAACCAACAAATCTACTTGAGATTTCCCCTTGTTGAACCTGACTTCTAGCGATCTAGGTATTGACAATTATACTGATATGATAATGTAGAACATCTGCCATTATCATGTGAAGTAGTATTATTTCTAGGTGTCCTTCCAGACATGAGACTTCTTAAATAGGAATGTTTCTTCAGCTCAGTAGCAGCCTCTAGTCAATGACAGAGTGATTTACATAGAGTTGCCTCAGTGACAGTGCTGAGTTATGTTAAAATACTATTCTTAATTACATCATCCCTTCCCCAGATGGCTCTGTCTTTTGACCATGTCTCCTACCTGCAATGTCAGGAATAGCTAACAAAGTATTTTGAAGTGGGAGAGAGAGGGGCACACATAATTTGTTACTTTAACTCCTGCTTGGCCATCACCCTTTATAGCTGGGTGTCTTAGCATTTCCAGTATGCCATTTGAAAAGTTTGTATGAAATACTGGAGGTCAAAATGTCTCCTTGAAAGCAATACTTACAGGCATCTCACAGTGGCAGATTCGAAATCCCACAGAATTATTGCACCATTTGCACTTCCTGTAGCTATTAAACTGCATCCTTCTACTTTTAAAACAGCAAAACATTTGATTTCCACAGGAGGTACAAAATTCTACAAAAAAACATTGAAAAAAATGTTGAGTAGAAGCAATGTGGACACTAGAGAGGAAAATGTTTTAACTGTTAGTTTAATAAGGTGCCTAAATTGACAGTGTCTGCAACAACTGTGTATTGAATGCTATTATAATCCTACTGTATTTGAGCCACACATAAGCACCAGAAGGAAGCAGGGCGTGCGAGTACAGGGAGACTCCCTGCTGCAGAGGACAGGAGCCTGCATCTGCTAACCTGACCTGCTACCTACAGCACAGTTGCAATTAGAGCACATAAAAACTGCTGTGAGATCTAAAGATTAATCAGAAGTAGGTACTTATGTCGATACGGTAATCAGGTTAAGGGAATAAGTCACTGAACAGAAATATAACGACCTTTCCTTAAATATCAGCTAGATCTGTTAACAAAGTTAGTGAAATGATACAAAACAAAACTTAAGTCTCATGGACTAAGTTAAATTGGTCAACAACTGAAATATAATTTGACATTTTACCAAAACAATAAGAAGAAAAATGGAATCACTTTAACACCCAGCTTAATCTATTTAACACCCAGCTTGACACTATTCCTGATGGGTAGTCTAGTTACAGTGATGAATGACACTGAATTTCTAGAAGACTTTATACAAGAACTTCAACTTACTATTTTTTACAGGAATGTAAAGTGTATGTTCAGAGCAGTTGCTTTATCATGGTAAACACCACACAATGAATTACTAGGCAGACATAGCCCTTGGAAACAATCATTTTCTTACGTGATTTATTTTAGACCTTCAGTGTACTGATAATTTGGAATACTTATTTGGTTCTTATCCTATTACTTAACATTAAATCTTTGAGGGCACAGTAAACATTTTACTTTCTAATCTTCCATAAATTATGCAGAACTTGAAGTGTTTCTCACCTCTGTATCATTCTTTGGAGAGCTGGTGTCAGACAGAAGCTGAATATCCGGGAAAAAATCATGTGTTTGTAAGGTGTCAGGCTTCAGTAACAGAGACACAACTGGATTCTTTGGTGGAAACGATACTGCCTCAGGAAGCACCCATGTGACATACAGGTATGTTTCAGCTGAGTTACCCTATTAAAATAACTGACTCAATGAAAAAGGAAGGGAAGGATTTCTCTGTTCATAAGAAAAGTATCAGTGAGTGTGTCAAAAGCTTATTTCTGTGTCAAACTATAAAATGTGTTATAGGTATCACCTAGCATATACGTACACTGCAAACTGACACATCAGCCAGAAATATTCCAGTTTACTTTAGATTACCTGCTGTTATATTAGAAGCTGTGGAGTTCAGAGCTTTTGATTTTATTCAGCTTATCTACCTTCTTAAAGTTGTCTCTTCAGTTATAGCTGCTTATTTTATTAACGCTGCTGGTCTTCAGTTCACATCTACCATACCAGCAAAACTGGTGGTTGTTCCAGTTGTGTGAGAAGAAGAAGCCACAAGTCTATGGCATACAAATGACTGGGATACGTCAGCAATATCTAAGTCTGAGGGCTCAGCTGCTGACTGGAACTGTAATGTTACAAAGGACAAGTATTCAGAACCCAAGGAGGTGATGCTGTGTCTTCCACTGCCCAAGGAGTGCACTAAGGCAGAAAGGCAGCCGTGAAGCAGGAAAAGATACAGCTTCCTCATGAGAACATGGCCATAGGCCTGAGGTACTGTTAAAAAGGAGAGCTTTTACCAGCAGTGGGGCTAAATACATAAACAGGATTTGCAGGAACAGTTCTAGCCAGTCACAGCTGCTGATGAACTAGAAACTCTTAAAGCAGGATAAACACTGTCTACAATAACAGCAGCATTATTGTAAAGCTTTTATCTTAAAGTTTTGACTGAAAAGTCAATCACAAATGGAAAAGCAAATGCAAATTTCATCAGAACGCTGAAAAACAGCAAGAGCTAATGAACATATTAATGCTTAGACAGAAAGGCAGAAAGGTAATTTGACAATATGCAGAAAGTGGATTGTTCCTTGACAGTTTCTAAAAATGTATCTACTAACTAATGATGAAGTCCTATTTTACCTCAAAATTTAGGAGCTACCAAATGAGGTGAGGGGGGAAAAAAACGTCTATTTGAAAAACCTGAATGATTTTCATCTTCCCACTCTGTTCCAAAGCAAGAAGTGCATGTTGACTCTCATCAGCCTTCAGATAAACTATCTTCAGCAGGTGACACTCATCTTTGCTGCACTGGGCCAAAGGCAAGGCTTTAACTTCCTGGCCACTTTCAAACACCCAGATTTTCACTGTTCCTGCACATGGATGAGAAAGATATACAAAAGGGAATGAACTTTTCATCACCTGAGCTTCAAGTCAGAAACTTGAACTGGATCAAACAGGGAAAGAAGTAAAAAGAAAATCCAATTGGAGGTTCTGAGCTATGTTACTGGCCTTTTGAAAGCCATAACAGCGTGTGTGTTGCTTAGGAAAGCACCTTCAGGGACACAAAACTTACAAGAAAACATCTTCACCACTAGGCCCACTATGTTTCCATCTTTTTTTTTTTTTTCTGTGGCTGTTTTATGCTACAGCCCAGGATAAAAGACAACTACCTATCTTACTTCTGTTTCTGAACTAACATCAGCAGAGAGCTGGCAGAATGTGGTCTGTCAGGCAGAAGACTCCAGGTTCTCAGTTACAGCAAGGAGCAGAGGCACCTGGTTGCTGGACTTGTCCCCCAGAGCTAGTGGGGAGAAAGAGCTACAGCATCATTTTAAGTGAAGCAGTTATTATATATGACTTCACTTCTGTATGACTTCATAGAATTCACCTTCTGTCATGCTCTTACAATCTTAAGGGTGCAGTCTCTACTCTCAAGTATAAGCAAGAAACATTAGCCAGGATACCATGTGGAAAAGGTCATCTTTTTATGTGATGCAGCTTTCATATATGTAATATATTTTAATGCTTCAGGTGTGTACTCTTGAACATTTGAATGTGAAAAGACTTATTCAGTTATGTTATCAGATTACAAAACTATTAAAGTTTTCTGCAGAATTCAGTGCAGCACTTGTGTATGGGAGAGGTGTTGTCACATCACCTAAACTTGATGCACCCTAAATAAAACCTGTGAAAAATTTAGGAAACATGTAGATATATGTACTCTAGTGTTCAGTGTCTGCAGACACTGTAAAATTGAGCTTGGATACTATAAAATTGAAAACGTGCTGTTCTCTGTCTGCAGCTGTTTCATTACAGATCTAGGTCTTAAGTGCTAAGAGGAACCATCTTTTCAGACCAAGAGCTTTGAAGACAGTCTTCTGGAGAGCATTAGACTAACAAAGTACCAGAGCCCAAGCAGCCAAAAATCACTCTTCTATGAACTATCTACCAGATAAAACCCAACCAAGACATGCCTCCTTTTCCCCATACCGACATCTGTGAGTTTCTTCCCACCTTGAAAGAAAGCCAAAATTCAATTTTCTGACACTGTAAGAATCAAGGCAAAAAGTTCCGTCTCCTCTTGTAGTATGTCATTTTAAATAAGTGTAATAAAAATGTAATAAACATTTCATTACTTTACCATCACATGCTCCAGTAACGAAATAAAAACCATGTATTTCAATGGCTGCACAGGTCACTTCAGTATTCAGCCCATGCGCATCTTCCACCTGATATACTTGATATCCCGCTTCCAGGTCCCAGACCTGGGAAAATAAGACAATAATTATTTTTACTACATCCTGTAAAACTCATCACACAATGTGTTCCAGTGTGAACAAATAATGCTTCCAAGAGAAAAACTTCATATCGGTGAAAAACATTCTCTTTTACAATAGCACGCTGCCATGTTCTATTACTGAAATACTAATGTAATTACCCTGAAAATGTTCCTCTCCCCAGAGAAGCCATTCTGACAAGGGGGAGACTGTATTCAGTGTGCTATGAGAAAGACCCTTGTTAAGTCAGAGAGACTTTTGTTAAATGATTTTTTACAGTGCAAACCAAAGAAATTTAACTAGAAATAATGGAACTATAATTTCTATGCTAAATAACAAAATGAGGCTCTGAATAATAAAGAGTAACCACCTAATTGCCCAGTAACTTATTTGTAAATAAAAAAAGCTGTCACTTTTATTTTTAATTTTAAATGGAGACAGCTCACACTCACCTTCAGTATTGACTCAGAGCAGATAGTGAGAATCTGGTGAAAAACCCAGTTGTAAACTAAAACATTGATGCTTTTCTTATGTGTCCTTGGCACGTATTTTGTATCTTGTATCATATGAGTAGGGTAAATATCAATGACATCTGAACCTGCACAGGGTGAGAGGTGTGGGAATATATACATTTTGAGTATCGTAGCAGTTACTTTCCCTGCATATAGAAAGATTTTATGTAAAATATAGGGTTCATTTGAGTTCTTCTGAAGACAATAAGGAATATTGTCTGTTTCTTGAGAATATGTGTTCTCTAAACAAGAAAACATTCACATGCGCCCCCCACAAAGCATGCTGAACAATGGCTAAGTATTTACCTGCCTTAAACCACCACCTGCCCAACTTTGATGGGACTGATACCCTGACTAAGTCATTAGGAATCATAAATCCCCCTGTCTCAGACGTCAGTAGGTAATGATGATGTATTTCCAGTAGCTTCCTTCATACAGCACTGTGAGTATGAATGGTGTTTTCCAGACATTTTACAGTGCTATCAGATTAGAAGGTTTGCAAAGACAGAGATATAGGTGAGGACAATAAGAAAAAAGAAAGTACAAGGTTTTTACAGTGGAGGCTTACAAGCCAGACTACACATGCACTTCCTTTTGCAGTTCCAGTTACAGTTCTACCAGCAGAGGAGCAGCCGTCAGCAGTGACTATGCAGCAAAGGACCCAGTTGCTTAATACTTGGCATAAGTCCAGGCATAGAGGCCAGCAGCTTGGAAAAAGGCACAGAAGGAAATCTATGGCAATATTTAAATGAAGCATGAGAGTGAGTTATGATTTATGAGTGTTAGTGAATAACTGAAAATCTCTGTAAATCTAGGTACATAGCAATGAGAATTCGTTTGCCCATATACAGCCTCAGTCTCGTGCCCTCTTCAGGGGCAAGGAGACATTCACTGAACCTTTTAATGGAATCATTAACAGAATACAGGACTAGATTTTTTCCAGTATTTAGGTACTGCTCCAGTCATTGTTTGTAAGGCCAAAGTTATCTCCTTTCGTCAAGGATTTATCCATGCAAAATCCATACATTGCTGAGCATTGAAAATCTCACTAACAAATTTGAAGAAAAGATGGTATCTTTTATCCTTCAGAAATTAAAATAATCTGTAAAACCTTGACTGATTAATATTCTTGGAGTTTTTAAAATAAGGCCTAGAAGCTGAAGCTTCTTAGGATTTGCAATGAGTACCAAATGCCTAAATCGATACAACAATTTGTGGACACTAGTGCAGTGTATATATTTGGGCTTCTAAAACAAGTTCATTGGCAGTGAGATTCAGCAGAAACTACCAGATCACTTGTAAAGCTTTGGTCCCTTGGAGGTTCCAGGATCCTTGTTATACAGTCAGGAAACACAGCCCAGAAACTGTGAGTTGGGTTCCCACAATATTTTATTCCTGACCAATTGGATAATACATCTGTTGACACCATAGATTGTAGGGCTTTCTGTAGCTACTGAGTTAAATAAGGTGTTTGAATGCACTTGTGAGGTCTCCACAGAGACTGTACTTTGCTGCTTTGATCTCCAAAGGGTAGGAAGGTGCTAGACGAATAGTTAGGGGAATATCAGTGGCTTAGTAGCTTTCAAGAAATGGCAAGGCTACAAAAAATATCTGTAGTTTATTTTTTCTGAGGAAGCCTCACCTTACCTTCAAAAAAGCCTTTCTCATTTCCTTTTGTTCCTGTTGTTAATTTCCATGCTGCATCTTTTGGATGCATATTTCTATATTGAAATTAGCACTGTATATAACAAGATCCACTTTAAAATGGTCTTAATGTGCAAATACCCTTACCTCCCAGTATTCTGTACATCTTATATACTTTATTTCTTTACTCAGCTTCATCAGTATGTAACCATAAAGGAAATCTCATTCTAGGAGACGGGACATTCTCTCATAAATCAACTGCAGCAACATACTGGAGATAAGCATGCCATGATCATTGTCAAATAACATGACGGAGTTCTCCATCTCTTCAGGGTTGACTTGAGTATCATGGAAGACCTGCAGCAGTGACAGAGTCTGTATGTCCCACACTCTAAAAATCTGGAGGGAGAGAGCAGGGAGAAAGTTTAGTACTATATCATGATTGGATTTTCAACTACTTTTCATTTCTATGATAATAATATTATAGTCTCTAATGAAAATCACATTGTTAAGCATGGTACTTCCTTAAATTAGCAAAACAAATATCAAAGGTATCTTTATCCCCATTTTACTAAGGATAAAAGACACAGAAAGGCTGAGCTCTGTAATCTTGACCTGAGTTCATAGGAGAACCAGGTCTCCTGAGAATTGGTTCTATTCCTTAATGACAAGATGGCTCAATTGTGTCATACTTTTCAGGCACAGTAGTTCAAAAGCTTGTATTTGAACTGGACTATCAATTGGTGTGCAACAGTAAAAAAATAATTTTCACAGGGTTCCAGGTAAAGGAATTCCTGTAATCTTTGACTGACAGCAGATATTGGAGCAAATTAGGATCAGGAAACACTGCAGAAGGATCATTTCAATGCATATGTAGTTCTTGTGTTCTCCATAAGCAAATGGTAGTGATCACAGCCTGGATACTAATCTGTAATGATGTATACATTAGATATGTTTGGTTTTACTTTCAGTTTCAGCGGAGAGCACAATGGAAAATACTTTAAACCACAGAATTACTTGATAATAATTGTATGTTATTCATCCTCCCTGATGGGCCTGATCAAAAGCTGTGTTGAACTCACTGCTATCCCATGCAAACTGCTCTTAGTCCTGAAAGAAGTCATGATTTAATTTCTCAGATCTCATGGCTTTTAGTGTGGTGTATTTTCTTGCAAGATAATCTTACTATAAAAAAAATTTCAAAAGTCATTCTGCCATCACATCTGACTGCAATTTTTATTCAGCTGCCAAAACCATGGTGAGTTTTATGTAGGTATTTGTGCAAGGTATCTGTATTCATTCACTTGTGTTACTAAAAGGTGGGGCTGCATTTTTAATTGAGATTTTGACATGTTGGTACAGTGCTCCCATCAATATCAGGAGTGTTGTGGGTGTTAACAAAATTCATTGAATCATTGCATTAAATGATTCATATAATGTAAGTCCACAAACCAAATCAGGACAAACCCCTGAAATATTCAGCTGATTTTGATGACTGAGCTCCATCTCAGAGAGAAATTTTGCATAAATAATTCTGCTTCCTGTGCTACAGTCTCTGGAGGTCTTCCTCTCTCAGCTGTTCCTTATTCTTTGTCACGCAATTGACATCTTAGTGTCTTTTCTTTGGTGATTTTGATGCAGTTAGGCAAATTCATGGGCTTGGCCAGGAAGCATGAAGCAGCCAGCCTGCCCCGACTGGGGCTGGGCTGCTGTTTCCCTAAAAGAGCTGTAATTTTGGGAGATCTGATGAAGAAAAAACCCCACAAAAACCTAAAAAACAACTAGGAAAAATGCTAGGGTAATCTGCATTCATTTGTTTGATTCATCCCAGGATCTCCTGTATTAATATTATGTTAAAGGTAGGTCCAAGTTCAAGGGCGTCTGGAGCATACCGCTTTGGTGAAGTTTCTTGCATTATATTCCTGAAAACCTGCTCGATTCACCCACAGGTAAAACCAGCTGTGTTGGTACATTAATCTGTCTACTGCGGGTAGCCCACCCAGTAACCCCCTTGAAACCAGCCTGAACATCAGTCCATAACAGCTGAGCATTGTATCAGAAAAAGAATGAAGTGGAATTGGGACAGAGAGACTGGAAGCTCATTTTGAAATTACTGGTTTTTTTTTCTTTTTGACTGATCTATTAGACAGTACAATGACTGGAATCTTTGAAAAACAGCCAGACTAGCCTGAACATAGAACTCTGATTGGCACTTTCATATAATTTCATAAAAGTTTTAATGACATAAGCTACTTGCTAAGGCCATTAACAAGTTATGCCCTAAGAAACGACCTGTTAAAGAGCAGTGTAGGGGAGAGGGACCTGGGGGTCCTAGTGGACAACAGGGTGACCGTGAGCCGACACTGTGCCCTTGTGGCCAAGAAGGCCAATGGTATCCTGGGGTGTATTAGAAGGGGGGTGGTTAGTAGGTCGAGAGAGGTCCTCCTTCCCCTCTACTCTGCCCTGGTGAGACCTCATCTGGAATATTGTGTCCAGTTCTGGGCCCCTCAGTTTAAGGACAGGGACCTGCTGGAGAGAGTCCAGCGCAGGGCAACTAAGATGATTAAGGGAGTGGAGCATCTCCCTTATGAGGAAAGACTGAGGGAGCTGGGTCTCTATAGTTTGGAGAAGAGGAGATTGAGGGGTGACCTTATTAGTGTATATAAATATATAAAGGGGGAGTGTCACGAGGATGGAGCCAGGCTCTTCTCAGTGGCAAACAATGATGGGACAAGGGGCAATGGGTACAAACTGGAACACAAGAGGTTCCACTTAAACTTGAGAAGAAACTTCTTCTCAGTGAGGGTGGCAGAACACTGGAACAGGCTGCCCAGGGAGGTTGTGGAGTCTCCTTCTCTGGAGACATTCAAAACCCGCCTGGACACGTTCCTGTGTAACCTTATCTAGGTGTTCCTGCTCCGGCAGGGGGATTGGACTAGATGATCTTTTGAGGTCCCTTCCAATCTTTAACATACTGTGTGATACTGTGTGTGAAACGACTTACAGACAGTCTTATGTCAGAAGTGCTAGAAAATACTATCTGATGTGTAACTCAAATTCAGCACAGTCATGCTGCTACTGACTTACAAAAGTTTGTGACTGGCAGAAGGAAGATGGATTAAATTATCATTAAAGAAATTTGATTTTCAAAGTAATTGCTTTTAGATCATCTTTCCTAACACCCAGCTAGAAATCTGACAGGAAGAACTCCGAGGAAAAAACGAGAACAATCTGTCAACCTCATAAATAAAGCAGCTACAATCAAATTCACTGCTGAAAACTCAGAAAATTCAGTTCCGTAAAGTTGCTCACCTTTTAATACAAAGACCTTTGAAAACTTAAAATAGCCCTGAGAAATACTTTCTATGCTGATTTGCAATTAGGTAATTCTATGTCTGTAGAGCACCACTATTATCTGTCCATTTGATCCCATAAAAACTTAAACTGTTTGTGGATGTCCTGAACCCAGGACAGTGGGGTTGAGGTTTTTTTTAATGTAAATATTACAGGAAAAAAAATCATTTTACACCTATAAATACAGAAAGTAATTGGTTTCCCAAATGGCACACAGCAAATGTTAGTCTGAAACATAACCCACAAGTTTTGACTATTTCAGCTTTCTTCACCATAGCCTATTCCTTCCTTAATTCGGAAATCTATTTATTTCTCTGTTGAACAGAGTGTGTGCCCATTACAATTCATAGGCAATATGTCATGTCCTTAAAAATGCTTTTGATAATGAGGAAGGCTTCACTTGTGCATATGTTCATGTTATGAGAAGTTATTTTCAATTGCCAGGAATTATTTCTTCCCAAGGCACACACACCATGACTGAGAATGAATGTTTGTTACTCTGTATGTTATAAAATGTTATGGTACAGGGCTTTTTCACTAAAAAGAGGATCTCAGCACAGGGAAAACACCATTGCCAAAAAAAAAAAAAAGGCTTAAACAAACCACGCTAAAAGCCCCCATAAATAGAAGACTGTTCACTGTATGCAGAATAAAAATAGAGATAACAGTGGCTGAAAATTATTCAGGGAAGTACAAAGATTTTGAAGCTATTGGAATTTCCATTAGTAATCTGATTTTAAAGGAAGTTATATTGGATCAGCAAAATTCTGAAGAGGAAGGAAAGAAAAGAAACAGATCCATCCTTTGGCACCACAGAGAAGTTCACGGTGGGTGTTTCAGAATTTTAAATAGAAGAAAATTCTTCCTGAATATTTTCTTTGTTTTCAGGAAAACTCAAAAGGAAAATACTCTAAAGAACTTCTACAGAGACTAAATTTTCCCTGATACAGTACCGAGTTAGAGGAACCATGTCCAACATATTCCTCTGATAGGCTTCTGATTACATTTCAGTTTACTCAGACATGCAGTTTCTAAAGCATACCAAAAGAGAAACAGGCAGGGAGAAGGCTTGAGAAAAGAAATCCAGTTGAATAGAAAAAATAGTGAAACTGTTCATCCACCTGACAGTAGATGAGGAAAACCAGAGAGAAGAATTGGTGAAGTTGAGAAAGTCAGGGCAATGTCACAGGTAGATCTTCAAGCTCAATTCTGACACAGTCACAATTAAAGCATGTAAAAACAGTTAGTGCTGATTTTACAGCACAAGTGAATCTAAGTGAAAGCCTCTTGCGCTTTCTCGCTGCTTGTTCAGCTATAAATGCCAGTAGCACATTAAGAAAACGAAGTCACTTAAAGTGACAGCAAAAACCTGGACAAATTACAGTATTCATAAACCTCTTCCCTCCTTCCAGCTTTCTTCCTTTCCCACCCTGTGGGCAGGGATGGGGAGATTACACAGACCACTGTTCCACATGAGTGATTCCCACACAGGGCATCCCTAGCGTGGCCACTAGATATAATGTCACTGCTATTCACCTGCATCAGCACACACATGACTGCATGAATTCAAGCACAGAGAGTGGCAACAAAAGGCATGCAATTTGGAAACTGGGAGGTGACTAGGGGGAGTTGCCTTGTGGATGCTTTGTTAATAGTAACTTCATTGTCCTACTTATTTATTGAAGAACTTTCTTATCTTGGCTGCCACAGCTTCAGCAAACTACTTTGTTATCCTTTCCAGGACCACAGTCTGGATCAATTCCCTCTATTCTAGGGTGCTCTTCTTGTGTCTTTCGTTTTTCAAACCAGCAGCAAACCCACCTAGTTACAAATGGAATTTCCACAGATAAAGCAAAATTTGAAACCAAATCACTCCAGAATTCAGTGGGGATTCTTGTCAAAGCCTTCTGAGAGCCCTTAAAAAAATGAAACGTGTATATCTGCATACATAAACACTTATCTTTCAAGCACCGCCTTCCTTCAAGCCCTAGAAATCAGAGCATAGAAAAAAGCCGAAACTATCTTTTCCCTCTAGTCTAAAGCCT